AAAGCCACATTGACTTTCAGGGAGAAGATCTCTCTCAAGATGCTGCTGCAGACGGTTCAACAACACGCGTGCCATTATTTTCCCGGTAATACATAGCAAGGAGATGCCTCGGTAATTGTCGCATGCGTGACGACTACCTTTACCTTTATAAATGCGGACGATGCTGGCATTCTTCAGTCGCTGAGGGATTTGCTCCGTGTCCCATATACTCTGGAATAGTTCAGTCAATTCCCGAATGAGAGCGTGTCCCCCGCATTTAAACACTTCCGTCGGAATACCGTCCGATCCTGGAGCTTTCCCGCTTGACGTGCGGTGGATTGCTCCTTTCACTTCCTCTTCCGTTATAGGACGCGCGAGATTCTCATTGATATCTATTTGAGGTAGGCGGTCAATGGCCTCATCGTTTATAATGGATGGTCTGTTCAGAACGCCTTCAAAGTGTTCAACCCAACTATCTAGAACCTGCTTCCGGTTTACGAGGAGACTGCCATCTGAACTCAACAGTGGGAGCAAGGTAGCACACTTGGGTCCATAAACCGTTTTCAATGATTCATAGAAGCGCTTGCTGTCATTCTGGTCGGCGTAGCTTTGGATTTCCTCAGCTTTGGCACCGTACCATGCATCTTGCATCTGTCTCAGTTCCTTTTGCACCTTTCCCTTGGCATTTGCAAAAGCTGCTTTCTTGGACTCCGAAGCAGGATCATTCTGGTAAACCATAAAGGTCTGATGCTTCTCGGTTAGCAGATCCTGGATCTTTTTGTCACTCTCGTCAAACCAATCCTGGTGCTTGCGTTTGAGTGGTCCAAGGTGCTGTGAAGCAGTAGCACGGAGAACTTCTTGGAGCTTCGTCCATCGCTCTTTGGGATCAGCATCAGCATCTGCAATGGCATTCGTGATGGTATATTCCAGTTCCTTCCAAAACGCCTCAGCAACTTCAGGAATCTTCAGCCGGGCAACATTCAATCTCCTTAACATTTTTTGACCTTGAGGTCTTCTCCGTGGCACAACTCTTACAGCCAGTCTGGAAATGATCAAACGGTGGTCAGTCCAGCATTCTGCCCCACACACGGCTTTTGTTACCCTCACGTCGCGCGCATCATTTTTTCGAGTAATGACATAGTCGATCAGGTGCCAATGTTTTGAACGCGGGTGCATCCAGGATGTCCTGTTGCGAGTGGGCAAGCGAAAGAGAGTATTCTTGATGGTCAAGTCATGGACGGTGCACGTTT